AAGACGCAAGAATCGCTGTGGGTTCACACTTTGACGCTGTAAAATTTTTAACTACAGCAGTTAGTCATTCCGAAAATATAACTTCACATATTATGATGTCGTTTTACAGCGTATAAAACTATGGGTTCCAGATCTTCCACTTATATAGTAAACTGTTAATCTTTTGAGATCTTTCCGGCGTCGATCGTGTCGTGCAATGATATAATTTATTCGTGAACTTGCACTCTTTCCACAAAATAAGTCATATTGTCTTTATTTTCATTTAGTAGTCTGTCAAAGTGACATTTATGTCTGAAATGGTGTGAACTGTTAACTGGTATCTCAAGATGTTTTATGTCTAAATTACTGCAAATCAACATAGAATTGTTATTTGTGCATAACTGACTGATTGGCAAAATCAACGTAGAACGTCGCACACAGGTGGATCGGCTCAAGTTGTCACACTTTACAGTAGTATACAAACAACAAGTTAGTAGAAAAAGAATAATATCGAATTAGACAAAGTTGTGTGAGAGAATAAACAACCTAAAGGTAACACTTGGTGCAAATATTCTAGTTTTAGATTTCAAACAGTGAATACATCGGCACCATTGTGACCGATTTTCAGCCATGTCACCAAGAGTTCTCAACCACTACTACTACTACTACTTCACTCCTTATGATTAAACTGGAAGAAATTGCAACAAACGGTGCCTGAAGCATCATCATACATTTGACAGGTGCGTGATGCATGTCAAAAATACTCAAATTTCTGCTCAACCCCTTCCACAAGACTTGCATATTGTCAGCGTCTTCACCTAGTAGGACCATATCGTGTGCATACTCCAAGTCAAGCAGATGACCTCCAGATAGTGAAGTAGGTCAATGCCTGTGAAGTCAGACGCATCTAGGATTAAGTCCATTGCTACATCTATGACGAAGTTAAGTAGGAACGGTGACAGTGGGTGTCGTTGGCGGACACCAGTAGTTGTCATCAATTCACTTGATAACTCTCCGTGATCCTTTACAGGGCTGCATGAGTTCGATTAGAGAGCTTCGATAAGTATTATGTGCTTGCTTAGTACTCCTTTCACAGTCAGACACTACCATAACACCTCACAGTCGACAGAGTTGGGAGCCAACTTCAGGTCAAAAAATATGGCAGATTTCGTCTGTTGGTAAGTATGCGTGTGTTTCAGAACCTGTTGTGGGTTGAAAATCTGATCGATGGGCCCTCTTTTAGGTCTGAAAAGTACCTGCTTGGTTTCTCCAGTTTGGTGTTGTCGGGCTCCAGTTAGGCGTCTGATAGCTGGAACCTAGGATCTTAGATAGAATACTAGTCAAACCAATTTCCCTAGAGTCGTAACAAGATTTCTCTCCCTCCTTGCAGAATAAACTGATCAGAGAAGTGCATCAACCTGACACCACTACTTCTGTCACCTTTATCAGCAATTTCTTACCTCTGTCGCTGAAAACGTTAGGTCGCAAACTGTCAGGTTCTGCTACTTCCCATCGTTTCAGACTACACACATTTCTCAACTTCAAGAGGAGTTCGGAGACCTATATCTACGTCTCATTCAGGTCCAGGCTTGATGTCAGGCAATTGAAGCATTGTTGTGCACCAGTGGAACTGGACTTCGTAGTGTTCTGACTAGCGTCCTGGTCGGCTGTCGTCGGAGGTTATTAGCCTCCCATCCTTTTCGGGATGGTTCCTCTCACCATCGTCTTCTTACCGGTATCCTTAATAAACCTAAATACTAGCCAAGTTACCAACGCGTATACCTTCTCTATCTGTCTCACCTTCGCCATCCATCACTGCTAGCGATCGACGGGAAGACTGTTGGTCAACTAATGCAGCCATAGCCCACCGGAATCGGTCTTTTCGCATCAATCAGCTCGGATGACGACGCAGAAATCCAGTAACTTTCGCTAGCCTTCATGTGTGGGTTACCAACTATCTTTACCGTTGTTTCTACAACGAAATTAATATCACGCCACGCCAGGTTTCCTCAGGATAAGAATTGCTGTCACACTCAGATAAATGCGTAACTAACTCCTCCCTCAATACATATTTGGCATCCTTGTCTTCTATTCGACCATAGACAGGCTTTTTCATTGCTAATTTCCTGTGACCGGTTTGGTGCAGACATACACGAGACTGTACTAGCACGCAACCAGAGTGCAAACAAGCGTGCCAAAAAGAGTGACAATCTTTCACATACACTCTCCAACGGTGACTGGCTTGTAGCAATGTTATCTATCTTTGTCCATCATTTATTTAAAGTTTGTGGATGCCATGTGAGACAGCGTCTTTCTTTATACTTCAAGTTAGTGCTGCCGAGAAACAACTGACTGTCGGAGCCAAATTGCAACAGATGATCACTGTTGTCACTTCCTTGCCATGGGATTCCGTTAATACCCTCAAGATGTCTTTCTTATTGCCTCAGCTTCCCTAGTTAAATTCACGTTTAAGTCACCTACCATCGTAACGACATCTGAACATTTTGGTTTCTGTAGTAAAGTCGACAGCTTCTCATAGAATTCTTCATTTGCATCAACCGAGCTACAATCGGTGTGTGTATGTGTAGACAGCGATTACGAATAGGCATCGGTTGGTCTCACGATCCCTCCTAGTTGTTACAGATCCATTCAGTCGAATAGCAAATAGATGGCTGCTGACTGGTATCCAGTTGAGAAGCGTGCTTTTTGCTCTACAACTTGATTCTCTACCTAAACCAACAAGTTTACGAGAACAAGCCACTGGGTCTCCGGATACTCGTAAGGTGAATTTTGAGGATTCGCTACTATGACTAGGTGAGGTCAATTTAATAACCTTTTCTATCCCCTACGTCTTTCCGAGAAGACAGCATCAGCGTGTCGTTGCTGGTCATTCAAAGGAATCGCCTATTACTAAACAGGCATAAGTCAGAGTGGCATCCAGTAAGTTTTCTAACAAGGTGTCACTACCTGCACCCGATTTCGGTCCTTTGAATCCAACAAGTACTATATGCTGATCATAATGTCTTCAGCGCCACCTTAAGTTAGATGTCTTCTGCTTGTATTATCTACAGGTTTATCAAACCTTAAATATAAGTTTCTCACTGTATTTCCTCCACTGAGGCATGCACAGCATAGTGTTCTTTTTTTGATAGACTTAAATCTGTATGCACTCAACATTTTAGTAAAATCGATGCGTCAGTCTTGCTTGTGCATTCAGTGCAACCAGTTTTATTAAATTCCCCCTGCTAGTTACCTTCCCTGGATATTTCTTCTTTCAGTTCAGAGGTAGAGTATAAGACATCAGGTAATCTGCTTATTGAATGGTTTTCACTGGCTTCGACGCACTTCAGAGTATCAAAATATGTAGGTCATGTGCTATTTCCTTCCAACGAGCACTTAGTTGTGCTCATTTTTCTTACTGACGAATAGGGAAGCATCTCACCATTTCAATTCGTTCTTGTAAATCCAGGATATCGGAGTATTTCTCATTGAAATCTCCAAGTTGCACTGAAGGCTTTAGTGTCTTCAAAGTAAACTCTTATTGAATGTCCACTTGCTTTGATTATCTCAAAAATGCTTTCTGATATCGTCCAAATCTGTGATGCAGCATATGTTTATTTTCCCTATAACCGTTATCAGGTAGTAATTTGCAACTCTGTATTGCACTCACAGCTGCATCGGTACATCATCTCAGGAGATAAATCAATCTTGTTTCATCTCTAAAAGCCCTCTTTGCCTAAAATGACTTCCGATCCCTTCATTGAATGAGGATACTTTGCCAGATTTCTGTTGCAGATTTGTGACTTTTATTTGCGAACTTAGAGTAGATTCCTCCATAATCTAATCAGATTCACAAGAAATAGACTTGCCACACAATTTATCAACATTATCATCTATCCGATAAGAGTTACACCTTGATATTCACTGCCTAGCAGCTACGTGCCTTCGTTGGATGTGGTGTTGTTGTTTTCTATAGAATATTTTGAGTGACAGTTTGATTATATATGACTTGTTGGCTTAATTTACTTTAGGATTAAGATTTCAAGACATCGAAGAACTCATGTCACGATACAAAGCTAATCTTTTGTTTCCATTTGTAGCAAAGATATATAGGATGGCTCTCTTCTCAATATTTCTGTCACTGACGAGAATGTAATAGAGGCTAAAGTAACTAGTCGCCATCTCACTTTATGAGAAATTGTCAGAAAAAACTAAGATAAGCTAAAAGTAGAAGTGTATCAACATGAAAGAAAGTAGTTTAATAACAGTAGAGTTTTAGATACTTAAAATGCTAAGTAAACTGTAAAGTTTATCTACAATGCTGACTTTAATTTACGGTTTTTTCTTTTGATGTACAGTCTTAAGTTATTATTATATACTTTCTTATAGAAATCACGTCGATAGCCTTAAGTTCAAACATTTAAGTTAGTATAGGTAACCTAAAGCTTTATTTGCTCGGATTCTTCAGTCAGTGTAAAACAAGTAACTAATGCTTGTTTATGTGTCTAAAGCACTTGTTTCAACTATCTCACTTAGTTCAGATTCACAAATTTACTAACTCATTCACTTCTATATTCTACTTAATCTACGCGGAAAATTAATTTTTACTTCTTTAGTAGTAGTTTCACTATGTATCGATGTAACTTTTTAGGGTGTGTTAAAATGTGGGAGATACAGCTCATTGGCTAAGGTATTTAACCCAGCTCCATCTACTTAAACCTGAGGAACCTATTAGTATAATTAACCTTCAAACAATAATTCTATCTAACAGCATAGAGCTTAAACCTTTATAGTGTTGAGTTCTATTAATTAAAAATGGTGTCCAAATACTTGTCACCTCATGAAATCTACTCTAGACTGACTATCTCAATTTCGCATATTCGAACAGGACACTGCTGTATAGCAGATTGTCGTAGTTTTATAAACAACCTTAGTTTTATAGATTTTGTTGTTGTTAGTATAGGTAATTAGAAGGAAATGCTTCTTTCGATCTAGTTATCATTACTATTTTTCGATTATAGATGGATGTTGTATTCAACAAATTAAAGACTAAGGTTTCAAGTGCCCTACCTGGTAATCCATTAACTCGAGAGTATGATATTGAAAAACAAATTGGTCAAGCTGGTCCAGGTTTATTATGGAAATTGTACTTGGCTAAAAAACGTTCAACTCAACAAGTGAGTGATTCTTATCCATATATGTATACATCTTCATGTAAAAATAGGAAGCTACAATATGGATTATGGAGAAAAAGTTACTAGATTCCTATCCAAAATTGCATCGTGATTCTATGATTGAAATACTTAAACATGGTGTATCTACACTGACACGAATTAAACATCCAAAAATATTATCAGTATTACAACCGTTAGAAGAGTCACGTGAAAGTTTAGCTTATGCATCAGAACCATTATTTACTTCGTTGAGTAGTGTATTGTCAAAGGAGTCAATAAACAATGGAAAACAAAATGAATCCATGGAGTTTTCTTTATCAGATACTGAGATTAAGTATGGTTTAGTACAGGTAAAGTTTATTTTTCTACAAATTCTATTCTATTTCAAATATCTCATAGCAGTGCATTAAGTTTTTGTATTGTTTTAAAAAATCTGATAGTGACTGTTCTACTAATCTTATATGAACTATGACTAAGATTGAACCGATTAGTATCACAAAAATTTGGCACTGAGTTAAAGGTTGACACTAGATATAGTTAGTATTTGTGTAAGTCACAGCGTGTTCTCCAATGTTGTTTCGGATGGACTCCTGGTCCAAGTTTCTTCAGAGAAATAATCGAAATTAAAATATCAGAGATATATAAATGAATCCAAAGACGTGTATTTAATCTCTTTGTCCAATCCTCTTTGTATGACTGTCGAATTGCATCACAAAACAAGACTTCAGCAAGATTTTGTTATCTGTCACATAGCCTTCTTTCTTCGTGATTGAAACTTTTATATTTTTAACGCTATATTCATCCTAATTAGCGTCGCTGACTAACTGAAGATATTCACTTTTTAATTGTTCAGTGGAGCTATACCTTAGCGGTTTAGGGAGACAACTATCAGCCACTGGGTCACGTGTTCAAACCCCGCTCTACTCACCGGGTTTAGGTAGTCAGGTAGTGTCACTGGCTCTCACACAATAGGTTTGACCGGTTGTCTACTGCACAAATGTGCACGAGGTGGCTAAGTGCGTCATAAGTTGTTCGCTGTTGTAAACCCTCACGAAAATACTTCACCTTATGTCCCAACTTTGTAATACGGTTCTAGAGCGGTTTCCATCATGGACCAATACTAACCAAGTAACTGTTGTTAACCAAGAAGCATTGGATAGATACTTAATACCTGTGCGGGACTCTTCACCAGTGCACACACAATGACCTCATGCCAGATGGGATTCAGTATCATCCAGTCTCGTGGTGAGCACACGGAATCCGCTGATTTACATTGTTCAATCTTAGACGATCTCACCTCTACTCGAACACTTGTGGGTGTGTTAGAGCCTATGGTGAGATGTCCGGGAAGATGTGCTCGTTGAGTGGTGTCCATCAAGACTGCCCACTCTCCCCATTCTTATTCAATTTCATCTCACATATTCTTATGGAGGTCTACCTCTCTTCACCTGACTACACAGAGGTTGACCTAATCACAGGAGAATTCTCGTCAGACCTACAATACACAGATAACATAGTCCTGTTAGATGAAGATGCTGACAAAATGCAGAGTCTTTTGAACACTGAGTGGCAATTTCAGAATATTTGGGATGTATTTCTCATCACCAAAATGCAAATTGTTCCTCCAGAATTGGTCTTCAACGGTGCCTCACTGCGACTAACAATACAGTGTAGTGGTTGAGTGTGTTGACCACTTCACTTACCTGGGAAGTTGGATCAACCCTGACCTGGTGGCTGGCTCAGTGGCCGGTGAAATCTCTGCACGAATACAAAAGGCTCATTTGACTTTTGCCAACTTATGCTACCTGTGGCGCCGCCATGATATCCGATTGTCTATCGAGTGTGGCGTGTACTGCACAGAAGTCGGCTCTTTTCCACTCTATGGCTGTGAAACATGGCCATTGAAGGTGAAAGAGATGAGAAGGCTGGCTGGCTGGCTGGCTTCAGGTGTTTGACCACCGTTGCCTTTGTAGTGTAGACCGTATTCCTTGGTGTCACCAAGTGAGTAACACAGAAGTCAGCTGTAGAGTTTTAGAAAGGAGAGGTAAGTTAGTTGACACGGTTGTGAACCTTCATCGACTGAGATGGTTGGGACACATGTCACGTATACCTAGTCGCTGTCTGCCTCGTCACACAATGTTGGACGAAGTAGGTTCAGACTGGAAAAAGGCTCGAGGCGACCACATTAAAACATAGCATCAAATATGAAATGTCTGACTGTTGGTTTGAGTCATGTGGGGAGATGGAGACTAGTCGGTTAGGGTTGGCCGGACAAGAGGAACCAGTGGTTGGAGATTCTAGGTGATGGCATGGCTGAGAACCGATGTCAGTGGCGCAGATGTATACACACACACATTATCCTCATCTTAATACTTTACCAAATCTCACCATTTTCTCATTTTTCCTTCCTCTCTTTTTTAGTATTTTATATCTCTTTTGACTGAATTTTCTTTTCTTCATCTTCCACTTCACTGCTTTTTACTTGATGTCCTAACATGAGGTGTGGCAACTTGGAGGGTTACGCAGTAATCCCTGGTCCTGTGTTGATTTTGATAATAATGATGATGATGAGATGATCTCACCACTGGACATCTCTCCTCACTGTCAACTTAGCTAAACCCACTAGGTTATCAGAAGATCCATCTTAAAAGAGAACTCAGTAATGAAGACTAGATTGTTACTCGACTAATTGATTTGTGTGGAAACAAGTTCGTAAATATTAAGGTTAATCTCTAGTGTGATAGATATCAAATAGATTGTATAAGTATGGTTATTTTTGTTACAATTAAGTGTAGTATCCTCAAGTGAGGTCATTTTCCACTTGTTCTCATTTTAGTAGGATGTAAAGCCTAATACCTCCTAATCCATCATTATCAGTAGTACGTATGGTGAATAATAATAATCGTATGTTACGCATGAATAAACTATAAATCATTGTGAATGGGAATGCAGATTAGCGTTTCTGACGAGTGCCAACAAGCACGAAACCTATGTCCAAGGTTTCCTGCCGATTACCTTCAACCAACTAACAGGCTAGCGTTAAGTATGCCACTCAAATAACCTGAACCATTCCATTACTTCGTAATTTTACCACTTAACAACTAAAATCGTCATCACTCACCCTCTTTAGGTTATAGTATTCAGAGTTTATAGCTCAGCTTTAAAAAAATATGAACCTGAGATATTCTTCCATCTGTACGCATTGACATACATACATTTTACTAGCTTAAGCAAAAGGAAAAATCGCGGGAAATGAATACACTTACTTTGCTTAGTATACTCATAATAATACCTCTGAAGTGATTGACAGAAGAAGACGAGAAGGCTACTAACGCAATGAAACACTTAGACTGGATACGAATAACAACGGTTCTCCCTCAATCTGAGACTTCATTGAGTCTCAAAAATCAGAAGACAAAGACCAGTCTGTGACTGACTTTAAGGGTCAAAAGTTGAATACTTATTTCAATTGGTCAACTGAAGGATAAAATTGTTTTTGTTTTTTTTAAGAAAAAAAACAAGGTTTTCCTTGCCCACATAGTATCATGGGACCAAAGTTGAAATCCAAAACTTCTACCTTACCGACTGACGACTTAGAATGCTGAATACGATTTAGGCTGCTTCCTACCAACCTCCTCAAGAGCAGTTGATAATTGTTTGCATTTATTGACCATGTAGCCAGTTTTCTGCTTTTCACCAGAACCATAATTATAGTTGAACTATGTTAAACTGTCAAAACATCAATTCACATTGTAGTAGCATTATTGCTTGGCTTATACCGTCGTTGATTGGACCGAACTGATCGGTCTCTATTGGCATATGGGCTCCTGCGCAGATGCTTCAACATTGCCTATGTTTTAATTGTATTAATGATGGATAGTGGCTAACAATGGAATCCAAGATGCTAGGGAGTATCCATCATTATTATTATTTATTATTAGTCCCTTGGGTTCCTAGTGGAACATAGGGCTTCAGTAGCACGCCTCCAGTGACCTCTGTTCTCTGAGATCTTTTGAACCTGGTCCCACGACAGCCCAAAGCTCTCATTTCCTGCTCGCACGACCTCCTCCATGTCACCCTTGGACGTCCAACTCGTCGCTTCCCATGGGGATTCCACTCGAGGGCCTGACGCGTGATGTCCTCGTCGGCCTTCTCAGTGCATGGCCAATCCATCTCCACTTCTTCCTGCATATTTGTTGCGTGATAGGTTCTTGGTTGGTTCGTTCCCAGAGTTCCTTGTTGCTTATTTTTTCTGGCCATCTGATCTTCAGCAGCGAGCGTAAGCAGTTGTTGATGAATGTCTGTAGTTTATTGGAAATACCTTTCGTACGCGCCAAGTCTCTGAGCCATACAAGAGCACTGACTTGACGTTGGTGTTGAAAATCCGTATCTTGTTCCGCATGCTGAGTGCAGAAGATCTCCACACTGGTTTCAGGCTAATGAATGCCTGTCTTGCTTTTCCGATTCTGACTTTGACGTCCTCGTCCGTCCCGCCTGTAGTTGAAACAGTGCTTCCTAGATAAGTGAAGGAGGTTACTTCCTTTAAGTTTCTCCCGTTGACGTGATTGGAGTTTGTTGTTGTTGTTGTTGATGGTGGTGGTGCGGTATCTTCATCACTTCTGTCTTCTCTATATTCACCTGAAGTCCCGTCTTCGCTGCCTCTTCTATCAACTTGTTAGTTTTTGCCTGCAGATCTTCAAGTTTATGTGACATTAGGCATAAGTCATCGGCGAAATCCAAGTCTTCTAGGTTCTTTTCCGTCGTCCAGTGTATCCCCCTCTTCTCGCTGCCTACTGTTTGCTGCATGATCCAGTCCACCACAATCAAGAATATCATGGGGGATAGTAGGCAACCTTGTTTCACTCCTGTCTTCACTTCAAGCATCACTGAGCTTCCCATTGTGGATTACTTGGCATGTGCATCTTCATATAGTTGTTGAATGAGGCGGATAAAGGTTTGCGGTACTCCGTAGTATTGAAGCAGTTTCCAAATTACTTCTGGTCGACGCTGTAAAGGCCTTCTCAAAGTCGATGAAGTTGAGGTGGAGAGGTGATTGCCATTCTATGCTCTGTTCTATGATGATACGAAGCGTTGCAATTTGGTCTGCACATGATTTGTACTTCCTGAAGCCTGCCTGTTCCGGTCGTAGTTTTGAATCCAGTGCATCCCTTAGCCTCTCCAGGATGATGCGGCTTAATATTTTCTTGGGGTGGACAGGAGAGTGATTCCGCGCCAGTTCTTGCAACACTGAGGTCTCCCTTCTTCGGCAGTTTGACAAGGTAACCCTTCTTCCAATCGTCAGGTACCTTCTCTTCCTTCCACACCTTCTGCAATAGTGGTGTGAGCATGC